TTTCTAGTATTATTCTCATTATGTCAGAATGTTGTCAGGATGTTTATTAAGTCGTATTATGTCAGAATGAAAATGAGTGAAAAACGATGTGTGAGAACAAAAATGAATAAGAATTAGTGAGAATGCATGAAAATGATGATATTTTTGTAAGGTTGAACGTATTCGCATTATTAAATAACTTATTCTCTTAGTAATTCTCATAAAATAATATTGTTCACACATCCGCATAATAAGTGTTCATCCACATTATAATCTAGCCATATATATATATATATATATATATATATATATATATATATATATATATATATATATATATATATATCCGGTAAGAAATTTTTTTGGTAGGAAAGTAAGAAGTTTTTTTTCTACATATTTTTTTGATGAACAAAATAAATGAATCACTAGATGATTCATTTGTAAGATGATTCACAAGAAAAAAATTTCAAAAAAACATCTTTATGATTCATTTTTAAGTAAATTAAGAAAAAATTCATTTTTATGATAATTTTAGTGAATAACAACAAAATCATTGTATAAATGAATCATCGAGATGTTTTTTTGAGAATTTTTTCTTGTGAATCATCTTACAAATGAATCATCTAATGATTCATTTTGTTTGTTCGCGAAAAAAATATGTTAAAAAAAATTTCTTACCTTACTACCAAAAATTTCCTTCTTATTTGATCCTCTCTCTCTCTCTCTCTCTCTCTCTCTCTCTCTCTCTCTCTCTCTCTCTCTCTCTATATATATATATATATATATATATATATATATATATATATATATATATATATATATATATATATATATATATATATATATATATATATATATATATATATATATATATATATATATATGCGTTCGAAAGTTGTGTTTTTGTCTAATTCTTTAGTAGCAAACCAACTTATAGTTGTTCTTCGCATGTTATAATCTCCAAACATCCTCTCTCTCTCTCTCCCCTTTCATATATATATATATATATATATATATATATATATATATATATATATAATATATATATATATATATATATATATATATATGCATTCGAAAGTTGTCTTTTTGTCTAATTCCTTAGTAACAAACCAACTTAACAGTTGTTCTTCAAATGTTACAATCTCCAAGCATCCTTAAAATATATTTTGATATGTATTTTCCCAACAAAAATTGGATACAATAGTCTTTCTTTTCTTTTAAAACAACACATATTTGCTACAAATTCAAATGCAGGAAACCATTAATAGCATTATAAATAGCAAGAAGAGAATTATGAGTCAAAAACAATAGTTTTATTGTAGGGCTTGCTAATGGGTGAGTGAGGCTAGGTAGGGGTGTGGTGGGTTGGAGATGTTAGGATGGGGTAGGTTGAGATGATGGGGTGGGGGTGGCTGTATTTTTATATTTTAGAAAAAAAAAATTGAAAATGAAATATTGTGGAAAATAATGATTATCGGTTTTTTAAATTTTTCTAAGTTCTTTGTAATTTTGGAAAACGAAAATTTTTCATTTTTCGTGAAAATTTTGAAAAAATGATTTCAACTAAACACGTTTTCAAAATTTTTATTTTTCGTGAAATTTTTTTCTAGAAAACATCCAATTTTTCTTTTTTTTAACTAAACGCAGCTTTTAGACATGTGTTGTACATTGAAGTTATTATAATATATTACATTTTCTTAGGAAAAGAATAAAATATCACATGGAAAATGGCTTTCATCCTCTAAACCTAACTAAATCAAAATGTTGGATTTACTTTTGATTGGTTCAAAAAGTCAAACCGCACATTAACTATCGGATGTAACAAAATCGTCTGCTCTTACAATTCGGTTTTAACAAATTCAATCTTTTGGATGTAACAAAATCGTCCAAAATATGTATTGAAAGTGACAAATAAAACAAAACGTCAAAAACCAAAACCATTAAAGGAAAAAGTAATAACGAAGATAAACGTAGTTTTCAAAGATAACATAGTGGGGATGAATGGAACGAAGGGGTTCCCTGCTGCTGAAGTCGATTAGACTGGACAATTTTTTTGTTTGTTTTAATCGAATTTAGAAAGTATTATATATATATATATATATATATATATATATATATATATATATATATATATATATATATATATATATATATATATATATATATAAAAGCTTTAAAGGTATATAAACTTAGGTACCCAAACTCCTCTCCATACTATGTCGTTTTATATCATATATACATTGTAATTGTCCAATATTCTTATAATTTAACTTCTAACTTGATTACTTCCAATATTTTTATAAATTTCACATTTATCTTCCTCTTACATAATTTTCATTTTTAACTATAATATATGTAGCCTTGTAGGTGTTCGACACAAAGATGTGATGTAATAGGATAATAATAGTGAAATTTCGAAAATATTGAAAGTAAATCAAATTAGGAATTGAATTTTAGGAACATTATAACGAATATATCAAACAAAATGATGTATTATGGTGGGTTTAGTTACCTAAGCTTATATACCCTTAAGGGTATATTCACTTTTCTCATATATATATATATATATATATAATATATATATATATATATATATATATATATATATATATATATATATATATATATATATATAATATATATATATATATATATATATATATAGTATTCGTTTACCCATGACAAGCGACGTGTGCGAATAATTTATTTCAAAAAGTAGCTTCTAAAGACTACTTTATTTACGTAATTAGTTTACTACATCCAAAAAAAAAATATAAGTAATAGTCATGCTAGTAGAAACGAAATCATTAAGTATTAAAATTGAAAAATTAGATTTCATAAAAAGAAATATATTAATCGTTCTACACTTCTTTATACATTAGTTTTGATGTATAGATTTCATTGTCATTAAATTGTTCATCAGGTTTCACTTATATATTTTTATATTAACACCTGATTTTGATAGGAAGACAGACGGTAGATGGCAAAAAATTTTATTTAATCGAATAGTTTACTTCTAGTAACTTTGGTTCTAAAGCATAAATAATTTAGTATTAATTTAAAATAACAAATGCATTTAAAATATATAACTATTATGTAAGATTTTATTATTATTTATTTGATTCTCTGACTCAAAACTGTCTAATCATAAATAAGAATGTAAAATTTGTCATTTATAATAATTTTATAAAAATCGTTTTCCATATATAAGATAATAGTGAGGGGGTTTGTAATCCAATTGCAACTATTAATCGATAAGAAAATTAATGCACGCACATACAAACCCGTTAAAGAACACACACAAACTCATCAACCGAGAATCATCGTTTATGTCCTTAGCCAGATATGGCAATTTCACAGTTTTATTTCGATGGTGTATAATAGTGAAAGCATTTAAGAAATGCATGTGAGTGGTTTATAAAGAAGGTTGAGTGGGAAAAAGAAACACAAATGCATTTTTATCCCTAACTCGTTTAAACGGTCACTACTTGCATTTTTATCAACAATTTCAATGTTGAAATGTAGTTTAGAATTTCCTTTGATCGAATTTTAGATGAAAGATATTTTTCTTATAAATAAATGCAATATTTTATATAGATTATCAAAAATATGTATAAGATTTTACTTTTTGGTATAACTTTAGTTTTATTTAAATTTTTGTTGATTCAAGTTTGATTTTTAGGTTGTTAAGTTCCATCATATTGATTTTCTGTTTTGGTTTTTATTTAAAAAAAAAATACAATTTACATAATTATACTACAAAATATTACACCGACATTTTTTAGAATTTAACCATGCACATTTTAATTTTGCCCAAATAGAAAACACAACTAGACCCATTAAAATTATCGCAACAATTGTAAAAAACTATGCTCGACTTTTTTTTTTCTTAACCATATAAATGCAAAATATACATTAAAATCACTTGCAAAAAATAAATTATGAACTATCTTTAAGATAAAAATTACTCTTGAGATTAAAAATCAAACCATAATAACAAAACTACATCTCGTGAAGATGTTGTGGTGGTATTTCCAGTCAAGCCACAACTTACAAGAAAATGTTTATAGTACTATAATGTTTTATGATATTTCTCCTCTCAAGCTTTTTCTCGTTCCTGAAAGTTTCTAGAGTACTTAAAAGGGTATTTAAGTAATTATAGCAAGGTTAGAAATCTCTACAGTAGTTAAAAGGATATTTAAGTAATTATAGCAAGGATGGAAATGTTGGTAATTAAATTCCATGGATTTTAGGATCGAATTTTGAAATTCGTTGTCATTGTGAATTCCAGTGGAATTGAATTCCATTCTCATTTTCAACCAAACACTGTTGAGATAGAATTGAATTTCAATTCTGCTGAAATCTCATCCCAGTGACATCAATTTGTCGTACTTTCCTGCAGCTTTCATTCACATGCCACTAATTATATCTGGTTTTTAAACATGAACCATTTCTTGGTTTGGCATTTATCCTACTTAAAAACACAAATCAAGAGAGAGAGTTTGAAGGCATACTATTAGGAGACTATCAAGAACCAGGCACAATATATGTGTTTATAGAAGCATCCATTTATTCCACTTTAAATACTCTTTTACTATTATGAATTGTATTTAGTGTCATCACATTCACCAAGGAAGCCAACAATTGTAGAAATAGTAACATCTCACATTAACATTTTAAGAAGAACTGAAATAGTAACATGTTATCTGATTGTAGAATTCAGAAAGACACAGTCCTGGATGCATACACATGCCATAGGATATAAGAATAATTCAAGATGTAAATTTGGATAAAGAATATTTGTAACCTTGGATGTATACACATACCGTGTCTTTATTTTTGGTAGCTAAAAGAATATAGACATTTCTGTTATGAACAAATTTAAGATAACAAAAAACAAAAAGCGAAATTCTTTTGAGAAAATCAGGGGATAAACAAACAAAAAAACACATCAAATCAAATATGTTTTTAGCAAATCTAAGATACCTATAAAACGTATCTTAATCTCGATAACTACTTCACGTATACACTACAACCTGCAAAAAATACACATAAAAAAACCCACGAAGGTTAGCGATTTGTAAAATAAAGGTTTCCTTGGATTTTTCAGTGATGGTCAACGGTAATGAATGGGTATATGTGGCCTTTTAGCGTAGGTCTAGGGATTTTAGACTGGCATCGAGAAAAAGATTTCGCAGATGAGGAGATTGGGATGACTTTCTCATCCATCTTGAGATGGGTTTTCATGAGGATATAAGAGAGGAACATCGTCCTTTTTGGGGGAATTTAATTAAGAAAGTGGCGACGCGGTGGAAAGGGTAAATTGTGGTGTAGCTTCGTTGCTGGTGCAATGATTATTCGACGAAGGAAGGATTAGCTTTTCATCTTTGTATAATCAACCCTAAGGATGAGAAAGAGATAGATGGAGACAAATCCTTGATGTACCTTCGACATTGTGAGTGGAGAAGAACGTTGATGACTACGTCGACGACAATTGGTAGTGGAGCGGTGGTTGGTCGTGGTGTTGGCTAGGGTTTGTGGACGGTGGCAAAGTTCAACAGGAAGGTGAGGGAGAAGTTCAACAGGAAGCTACGAGATATATGGGAGGGTCGCCAGCAAGATATTTGGGAGCCTCACCAGAATACTCATATATTTGTACTTAATGCATTATTAGTTGCACAATTTAAATTATAATATTATTATATTAATATTTGTTCTATTTTAAATATTTGAAAATTTAAAATTATTTATAAAATAATAAGGTAAATAATATATATATATATATATATATATATATATATATATATATATATATATATATATATATATATGGTTAGGTTCATGTGAGACGGCCTAATTTTGTGAGACCGTGAGACGTATTTTTTTATTTTATTTTTATTTTTTTTAGTTAATTCAAGTTCCGAAAATAATATTTAAAAAAATAATTTTTTGATTTTTCCATTTATTTTGCATTTTAAAATTATTTTTAAAATATGTACAGTGTAATATTCTATTTAGAATATTTCACGTATTTTAAAAAAAATAGAATTTTTTTTTTAGTTAATTCAAGTTCCGAAAATAATATTTAAAAAAAGAATTTTTAGATTTTTCCATTTATTTTGCATTTTAAAATTATTTTTTAGATTATATTAGTGTAATATTCTATTTAGAATATTTCACGTATTTTTCAAAAAAAAAAAAAAAAAAGGGATTTTTTTTATTTTTTTTTATTTTTTTTAATTTTAATTTTATTTTTTTTAGTTAATTCAAGTTCCGAAAATAATATTTAAAAAACGAATTTTTGAATTTTTCCATTTACTTTGCATTTTAAAATTATTTTTAGATTTGGTCTCACGGTCTCACAAAATTAGAATGGTCTCAAATGAACCTGAACCTATATATATATATATATATATATATATATATATATATATATATATATATATATATATATATATTTATATATACTTTCTAAATTCAAGGTTCGTTGGTTTTCTATGCTCGAGACAATAAAATAATTCACCAACAGACAAGGTCGACACCGGTCTATTTACATTGAGTGAGTTTGGAGTGTTTAGGGTGTAGTTTATATAGGTGAAGAGATGATGTAGTTAGTTTAATTTTGTCAAATCTATACAAATTATACTCATTAAAAAGTATTTGTAGTTGCTTCCATTTTATTAAATTTATACAAACACTATTAGTTAGGTTTTGTTGTAATTGCTTTCATTTTATCAATATTATCAAACATCTATCCAAAGTTCTTAAAATATAGCCAAAAAATAACACCTCAAAAAAGAGCTCCTAACAATAGACGAAATAGCATTGAAATTTCAATGTTACACTAGATTAGAAACAAACTTTAAGCTTAAAAGCTAGAAAACAATGAATAAATCATTGAACATATTTTGTGACGGTACCACACTTCAACTTCTGACTATACTTTAAGGAATAGTCGTAATGACTAGTCACAAACAACATATCAATAGTAAGAAGACAACACCAAAGTTGCATATATAATACAAAAGAAATTGCACAAAAATAAAATTACACACAAACAGTAAGAAATACAAACACCAAATCGATTTTAGAAACCCAAACTTGAAACAAATCAAAAAATTCTGATTAAGATCACATTATTAAAAATTGAACTCACTTGAATCAGTAGAAATGTTGACGAGAAATCAGAAATCAAAATATCTAATATGTCTTTTCTACTATAATGAAACTCCTGGGAAAAAAAAAAAACAAAAAAATCAGATTAAGATATGATGATTAATGGCAGTTTTCAGGAGACATAAGAAATTACATTTCATTTTGTTGAGAATGATCCCTTCCAGTTCTGCGTCAAGACAGCCATGCAACTTCAGTCAAGCCTAATTTCGCAGAACTAACACAGAGACTCCTCCAGACATTGAGTGTGGCTTCCTCGTGTGATCCAATGTCTTTGAGACTACGTACACCTTTTTTTAATGCAATCAAATATAGAAGAAATCATAAAGATAACAAATAAAGCAGATTTCAAGATTAAACTTACTTAAATATGTTCTGAAATAGCAATATCTAGCACAAATAGAAGAGAAATTTGATTTGATTTCAGAAAAACTGAAACAGTCACTAAGATACAATCACAACAAAATCACTAAATAAAAAATTAAGAATGGATCGACTAAAATCGATTGACTGAATGTGAATTTTGATAGCTAATATCGATTCTCTAAATCAGAAATCAAGATACAAGAAATTAAGAATCAACATGACAAAGAAATTGAGATTTAAGAGCTAATATCGATTGACTGAAAGTGAAAAATAAAAAATTCATTCTTACCTTTTATTTATAAGAGACGATTCTAGGCATTGATTTCTCGATCGACAACAGCGCCAATGAGCAACGAGTTTCCAGGCACGACGTTTCGTTTCTCTATGTTGTGCATTTGATCGATTGATTGTTTGACGCCTCTCTTTCCCCTGGTTTCTTTTTAGTCAGTTAACATATCACCATATATGGACTAAGTTAATTGGGCCATTTTTATACATATAATGGATATTGCTATTTTATTCCCTAAAATTTTGATGCCCTGGCTAAGTGGTCCATGTATTGGGTCAGGAGCAAATCAATAGAAAATGCATGAAGTTTTGAAACCTTAAAACCTAAAAAATCAATAGAAATGCATATAAAAAAATAATTTAAGATATTTAATCTTTTTTTTTATTTTATAGGGCTACAAAATCGCAGGTTTTGGGACACATACACTGAAAAAAAATTGATATATATATATATATATATATATATATATATATATATATATATAATTTTTTTCAATGATTTTATATAAAAAAAATAGTGATTTTTAATTTTTTAAAGTAAAAAAAAAAATAGATATCTCAAAGTATTTTTTTTATATATATTTTTAGGGATTTTGAGGTTTTTTAGGTTTATGCATTTTCTATTGAACAACTACAGGATAGATAGGTCAATGTTAAACGTGTTTGTGAAAGATTTGTACCCCCTCCAGTATTCCTTATGCAATGAAATTGTGATAAGATAAAAGTTGTTGTGTTTCCAACTTCCAAGTTAATAAGTTCACTTATTTTTTGCTTTTAAATACATTTTCATGCTAGTGGTAATTTATTTATATTTTTTGATGAAATAGTTCTCATTTGAACCGTTTATGGATTATCTGAACTAAAAGAGTGGTTGATGATAATGGAAGGGTGATCAAGAATTTTGGAATTTTACTATTTTGAAAATGGGCAAATACAACCAAAATTCATGATGGAACAAGCCATGGAGTATGAAGTAGATTGTCCGGGATGCATTTTGGAAGAGAAAAAGAATGTCGGTACAAAATGAAGGTATTCGTTGATTTGTTATTGTTTCTATCAAGGATATTTACCCATAGTGGATACTATAACATAGGTAATATTTAAAATTATTTGAATATAAAAAGCTAACAGAAATAAGCAAATTTGTTTCTATTACATAATCATTCAATACAAAATAATAAGACTTGTTCACAAGCATTTCACACACTATTTAAACGATGTTCAAAAACACTTAACAAACCACCTAAAACTTGTTCACAAACTTGTTTCAGAAAACCATCTTACATGTTCTCCAAAAGCATTCAACCTCATCACAAGTTGTTCTCTCATACCATCACATTTCATCACAAACAATCATCGATATCCTTTTAACCTTTTTTGAATTGTTTGCATAGCCTTGTATGCATGAGCGGTACGCACTGTGAATTCCACATTTTGATATTTTTCGGCAAGATCCAGCACCTTAGCCTTCAACATGTTAATTTCAGAAGTTAACATTCGATGCGCATACCTTTTCCTAAGCTTCTTTAAAGTAGTTTATTGAATTTCACTTTCTTTATAAAGACCTAATTTCCACTTTGAGATTGGTTGTCCTATATAGGTCTCCATACGTCTCATTGCGAAGACCTTACAATCAACTTTACTGTTAACTGGTCTCCATGGAATTTCAAGTCGTGGTGGTATGATACTTTCTTTTTTAGATGAAATTGACTCTTGGATGGTTTATTTCTTTAAAGTATATCACAAACAAATTTTTCTGATCATTAAATAAAATAAAAGTTAGATATGTAATAAAGTGGTTATGATATGTTGTTGTGAATTGGGCACTTACCAAAGGTTTCAATAGTACTCCATACATAATCCCCCTCAACTGCACCGTTGTCCAGAATTTCGATTGATGGTTTCTTGAAGTTGAAGACAATCACAAAAATGTGAGCGCTTCTAAGAACTAGAAAGAATACATGTTTTTTATGTATATAATGGTAAGTATTTTGCTGATAATATATATATATATATATATACATACATACATACATACATACATACATATATATATATATATGTGTGTGTGTGTGTGTGTATAAAACAAGTTAAATTAACATAACATGTAAATATCTTTTATGTTAAAGATTTTTTTGTACCCATTAGTGCTCTCATGAAAGTTCTTCTTGAATTTTTCATACTTTCTTTCATCAGACAATGTTGAAGATACATAAGCATTCTATGACCAAAATAATTTTAAGGGATTAGTATGTTGTTAATCATAAATGAATACATCATATTGGTATGTTAATCATAAGTGAATAGTAAAGATATTCATTTTTTATTTTTATATTCATAAATGAATACATCATTTTTTTATAATCATATGTGAATTTCAATTGCATATACATAATTATATTAAATGATACTAAATAAATCGAATATTCATAAATGAATACATCATTTTTTTAAAATCATATGTGAATTTTAGTTGCATATACATAATTATCTTAAATGATACTAAATAAATCTAATATTCATAAATGAATACATCATATTGGTATATTTTATCAATAAAGAAAAATTAATGTTAGAACACAAACTTACAAAAACTTCAATATGGTGAATTTCCGACATCTCTTCCCAGATTTTGGTGGTTAAGTAAATCAGCCCAAGTGTCTAAAACTTATGCAAAATCTTCATGTTTCCATATAGACTTTCCATAAATGCTCTTTGTGTTACCTGACCATATTTTGTCTGGGGAACCGCATCTCTGCAAATATATAATCAAAATGTCATATATTATTATTTATATAATAATCATATATGAATAGTTCTACAACATAAAGTTAATTGCAATGTATTCCCTTGCAAGTTGAACAACCACTCACAGATAATACTCTCCTGATGTGTTAGCTAAGGTTTTGTGTCTATTATCTTGCATTTGTAAGGTGATTTGAAAGGATCAACAAGCTTCTTTGGTCTAGATTCATCCAGATCATGCTTTGATGGTCCACCTTCTATAGGAATTGCTACAAATATTGGATTTGGATTAAGAACATTTTTTTTTTGATAATCTGATCACAACCCTCTGATTGAAACATCCTAAAATAAGGACAAAATTTTCATTTTTAATTATTAAATAAAACCGTAGTTATCAAAATCATTTCATAAAAACATAAGTCATAGTATCTCAAATTATCATAAATGGTATATCCATTTCAAAACATCTGTCAAATATATCAGAGTAAATTAACCCAGGCTGAAACATCATGGTGTGTGCAATGCGTTCATCCTGAGCTCTTCGTTTTGCTACTGGAAGTACCTGAAACCAAAACTGAAACTGTAAGCAGAAGCTTAGTGAGTTTCCCCAAACTACCACATACCATACACATAAGCACATAATCACATACAAACATATGGTGGGCCTCGCCCCTTCATCGGGCCCCGCCCGGCATTGAACAATGTCCGGCATCGGGCTCCGCCCGGCATCGAGCAAAGCTCGGTATACATATAAACTTATGAATAATACACATAAAATAATCACAATGCATAAACATATAAACATTCCTCGGGCCCCGCCCGGCATCGGACCGAAATCCGAAAGCATACAAACATTCCTAGGGCATTGTCCGGCATTGGACTGTAATCCGGGAACATACAAATACAGAAACATGCAAGAATCACGAATACATCAAGCATAAAAACATTCCTCGGGCATCTCCCGACATCAGACCGTAGTCCGGAAAGCATATAAACATTCATAGGGCACTGCCCGACATCGGATCGATATCCAAAAACATGTAATCAAACATATAGGCCGGTATTGGTGCCTTTGACATGTTCCTATAGGGGCAAACTCACCTCGCAAAGCTGAATCTCACGGATAATCCTCTGACTGCTAGCTGGCAGATCCCCAAACTGCTGATCTCTCGACTCCCCGAGCTACTAATCATCATATAGACTATTTAAGTTCGGGATTCTCATAACTTAACCATAAGTCCTCACTGGGGTAAAAGACCATTCTACCCCTCACATACTCTTGTCCCAAAAATATAAACACTCATATAAGGCCCAATTTCCAATTGGGCCCAATCCATTCACATGGACCTCAACCTAAGGCCCAATAATGTTTTTCTAGTAAAAAGGTTCAATTTCGGATGGTTTACTAAGGCCTAAAATATCAAAGTCCAAGGAATCTCCCAAACCACGATCCAAATGACACAAAGCCCAAATCCAGTGAGTACGCAGGCCGTACTCCTCTGTACGTTAATCGTACAGGTTGCATGGCGTGTACGATCAGCGTACTCCCCTGTTAAGCCATAATCTCAAAAAGAGCTTAAACCCCTTAAGACCTAAAGCTCCAAACACAGATCTGAGTCCAATAAAGTGTTTTAACCCATAAAGTCGATTACTTGGTGGCTTGCAAACCCCCAAATGAACTCAAACTTGAAATATGACAATCTAATTCCATAGAAATGACTAATACTCATGCATGACCACATCAAGACCTTCAAGATGGTAACTTTTCTGTCTTTGGTACTCAAATAGCACTAAGGGTGGCAACCCTAAGCCTAGAAACGGATTTGGAACCATAAAGCTCCATTCTTGGGACCAAAAAGGTCCAAAAACTCAACATAAGAGATCTAAGCACTCATGGATCAAGTTAAAGACTTTATACCTTGAAAAGGTCTGAAATGAAGCAACAATCCCATATCTACAACTTCTCATTTGTACCATCACCTTGCTTTGACCTTTACTTCCTTGGAGAATGGATCCAAAACATCAAAATTCTCTCAAGAGGTCTTACAAGAACAAGAACATACAAAAATATGGATTAGGGTTTTGTAGGAGTAGCTTAAGGGTGAGAGGGAGGATGGACATTATGGCATAATGTTCTTTATATAGGGATCAAAACCTAAACTTAGGGTTTTGGGGACTGCACATCTACGATGCGTGTACGTGCATGACATGCGCAATCAACTTTTATTAGTACATTGCACGTACATAGGGTGGTACACCCAGCGTACGACACCCCTTAAGACCATTTTGTAAGGATCCAATGGATCCAATCCCAGTCAACATAAAATAATTAATCCAATACATAAATAATACCTTGGATAATTATTGAGTGTTACATTGATGGTCTTCTTTGGTTTGTTTCTTTGTAAGTGGTTTTTTTGGTGAAGATTCATTTGATTTTTTACTTAAAGTTTGATATGAATCTTGAATAAGATCTAGACTAAAGTTTGGAGGAGTATTATCTTTATTTTTTTATTTTTTACCTGCTAGAAAATTTACATAATATATTAATATACTATGAAAAATATAAATTTTAATGTAATATATTATGTATAATTAATTAGTGAATCGTCTATTTACCTCCATCACCTGCTTTTTTGTTCTTAACTTCAAGCCCTTTTTTAACACCTTCAAAATTCAAATCATATATGAATCTTGGATCATATAAATAATTATATGTTAATTATAATATATTTTTTTATATTTTATTCATATATGATTATTGACCATTCCAATCAATATGAATTTTTTTTCAAATGTTTTTCCAAATTGTTACCTCCATCATTACCTTTCGTCTTCTCAACTTCTCCTCCTTTTTTATTTTCATCTTTAGACTTTTCCTTGCCCAAAAGATACACACCATATATGAATATTCTATCTATATTCAAAATATTTCAGTACTTATTCATAAATGAATATAAATATTTTAATATATTCACTTATGAATTAGTAATGCATAGCATTACTTCTGAACAAGTAATTCTATCTTTTACTTATTAATACATGAAAAGTGTGTTATTCAAAAAAATCAATGTAAGCATTATAATGAGTTATGAATAAGTAATGCATATCATTAAGTATGAACAATTAATACTATCTTTTTATTTATTCACATATTGTCTTATTCACTTGTGAATTAGCAATCTTATTATATTCACTTATTAGTGAATCATCCATTTACCTCTATCATCTGTATTTCTTTTCTCAGCTTCTCCTCCTTGTTTATCATCACCTTCATCTTTATTTTCCTCAGTAGTTTCAACTTCTCCTTGTTTATCGCCACCTATTTAAATACCTTAAGTTGCTTCGGGAGTTCCTTATGACCAACCTCCACCTCTCCAAACCCTAAGAATAAACCCTAACCTTCATTTCAGTGTTTGTGAGCTATTGTTGTGATCTTGTGGTGTTGTTGGATCCTTTGAAGGAGGTGAAGCTTTGGTGGACTTGGAGCTTGAAGATCCAGAATCTTCATCAACTTTGCAATCTATTTGAGGTATAAAGATCGTAACTTGATGGATCATTTGGTTAAATCTAGTTAGGGCTTGTTTTTATGCTCCTTTAAGCCATTCTTGATAGTATGAGCTACTCTAGAAGCCAAGGATGATAGATCTTGGCATTTTTTAGATCCCTTCTTCATAAAAATGCAATCTTGATGAGTGATTTTGGACCGTGCATGAATTAGGGTTATTATTATGGTTCTTTTTGAGTTTTGG